ATACTTTTCTCAGACAAAACAAACATCTCATACAGTCACTCTGGCTTCTTTTTGAAATGCTAAGAAAAGCTACTTCTTGGAATTCACTGGCTTCTCAGTTCTGTATTCAGTTGATAAGAACTGAGCACAGTTCCCTATGAACTCAGACAAATTAAACTTCATTTGTCAGAGAGCCCTGTGCCCCCCCTTATTATAACTTAATTATGTACACTGTTTTCTTTTGGAGATAAAAATGAAATTGTTTTATATGCTTAGAAGTGACTGGGAAACCTTTGGGTAAAATCTAGGTAGGGCAGACACTAACATACTTATTAATATGGCATTTGTTTGATTAGTTCTAATTATTAGGTAAGTTCTATACTGAGGATAGAACTCTAAGGATACAAATTACTGATTTTTTTTTTTTTTTTTAAATATGAGGCAGAAACAAAAGGATGGGCCTGAAGTCCCAGCCACTTGGGAGGCTGAGGCAGGAGGACCCCTGGAGGCTGGCCTGGATAACGCGAGACCCCATCTCAAAAAAAAAAAAAAAAAAAAAAAAAAAGCTGGGGTGTAGCTCAGTGGTGTAGAGCTTGCCTAGCATGTGTGAGTTCCTAGGTTTGGTCCCCAGCAAACACTACCCCCCACAAAAAAACAAGTCTAAACTCAGCAGCATAGTAATTAGCACTTCCTTCTTCAGCTTAGCTTTGCAAAGCAGGAATGTCCCTTTTCTTGTCATTCCAAAGGTGAAGTTGAGCTGTAAGGTACTTTACTGACAGAATTCTTTCAAGTTAATTCTCTCCATCTGCTGGAACAACCTTAGCCTTTGCTGCTAAAGTCTTGAAGGTAGGTAGCAGCTGACTTTTTTTTTTTTAATTTCTCAAAATAAAATGTTTAACACGCCTCTCGTTCTGTGTCTCTGGCTTAGAACCCTTAGTGGTTTTCCCAGTTTTGTTTCATAAACATTTCCCGAATGCTGCTTCTCTGGCATATTCCGAGGCCCTGTGTTTTGGTGTTGGGGATATAAACATGACTGTCATGTGGCCTCTTTCCTCACAGAGCTCGTAATTTAGGAAGGGAGACAGATGAGTAAATAACTAACTCCAATCCTGCTTGACAAATGCCACCGTCGAGGCTGTGAACGGAGTGCCGTGGGAGCAGCAGCGAGTGATTGATTTGAGGGAAGGGGGCTGGGCGGGGATCAGGGAGGGCTAAGCAGCAGAGGTGACATTTGAGCGGAGCCTTAGGGGATGAATAGAATTTTGGCAGATGGGCAGAGGGGTGGGGGTGGGGACACTTGAGACTCATGCAGAAACATGAGCGTGTGAAAGTTGGTGCCGTCCTGGGAGTGGTGGTGAGCAGTGTGTGGGCCGAAGGAGATGCGGGGTGTGGAAGGGGGCGTGGTGAGCAGTGGCGGTGCGGAGATCACCGTCTTGTACAGCTTCTGCTTGACCTTAGCTTCTTGGAGCCACAGACATTTTAAAACAGGGAAATGACATGGTGAGGTCCAAGGCAGAGAGAGAGAGACAGAGAGAGAGAGAGAGACAGAGAGAGAGAGTGTTCTTGCATCAGAATGTGAGATGATTGGATAAAGGTGACTGGGACCAAGGAGCCCAGTTGGAGGACCAGTGTTGAGATCCACAGGAGAGACGGGGGTCTGGGTCAGGCCTGTTCCTGCGGGGCTGGAGATGACGATGTGGGCTCGGGAAGTGTCTCTGAGGGAGGGCCTACTCACTGATGGCCAGGTGTAGGGGAGAGGAGACAAAGGCCAGGTGCGGATGACTTGCTGACCCAGACAGAGGGCATAGGAGGAGAAAAGCTTGTGCGGTGAAAGTGGTGGATTTGAGCGGTGGGCATTGAATCCGGAGAGGAGGGGAAGTTGAAGACTGCTGCAGGAGAGGGTAGAGGTGCAGATAGAGCGCCCATAGGGAGAAGGCAGGAGTAGAGAGAGGGTAGAGACACAGATAGAGCGCCCATAGGGAGACGTCCTGAGCAGAGATAGTTGGCACATCTTTAACGCGATTTTCAAGCAGGGTAAGGGGTATGAGGACTTGCTTCATCTGAAGTTTTATGTGGGGTCTTCTTTCTGACTATTCACGTGCTATTTCTCCCCCTTCCCCAGATTCTCATAGTCTTTGTAGGGGCTGCTGTGTGTTAATAAGCATCGCTCCAAGTGTTAAGTTGGGCATAAAAGCTAATGAAGGGAAAGTGTCCTGCGAATAGGAGACACCTATGATCTCAGTGTCACCTTGCTCTTAGTAGTGAAGCTCGTGCATTGCTGGATTTCCCAGTAGATTTGGAACATCAGCAAAATGGAAACACCAGAACGGGCAGGGGTGGGTGGCAAGTTCAGCTTTAGGAATTAGATAAGCCTGCTAAATCTTTCCTATGTATTTTATGGTGTTGTGTTCACATTAATATTAAGTCGTGTCTATGTTGTTGCTTTTATTCTGCAGTAGTTTAAAATATTTCACACATTCACATGTTTGAAATCCTAATTTGTCATTTTTTTGAAATTGCTAAAAATTTTCACATTTAGGGCTGAGGATACAGCTCAATGGTAGAGTGCTTGATTAGCATGCACAAGACCCTAGGTTCAATCTCTAGCACCAACAACAAAAAAATTCACAATTGTTGTTTTTTCCCCCGTAAATACTAGTTTTTGTATGTATGTGAAAGATTAATCTCAGGACTTCAGTCATGCTGTGGAGGGGTTTTTTTGAATGAATGAGTGATTGGATGGTTATCACTAAGCAACGCCTCTCGCCCATCGATGTTAATTTTCATTTTTTTAGGACATTATCAATGGTTGTTATTTTACCTATTGGTATCTTCAAGATAGTTCGATGTTAATTTTTAAAAGCATGTTCTAAGTAGCACAACAGCCAACAGCGGGACACGCCAGCTCTCACTTTGAGGAGCAGAGTAACCAGTTGCAGTACACTCATTTGAATGGCTGCTCCTGGCTGCTCAGGACGGGCCTTTGAGGTGACTACGGTGCCTCTGACCCAGGCTTTAGCAGTGAGCCACGATGGAGTCCCGTGTGATTTCTGTTTTGACAAAACTTGGCTTTGCGAGATGGGTTAGGAGCTAAGAGGTGTGCTCTGATTGCCAGTCTCCTTTCTCTTTGCTTTTCCCCCTATCTACACAGCTAGGTGCAACTGAATGATTAGTATATGGAATAAATCCAGAATCTTGACATCTTAAATTCCGGGGGCCTGATGTGTAAAGTAAGCTTTTAAAGAATGCGTCTGTCTTTTTGATAAATCGGAAGAAAGTCGCACTTCTGTTTGCCAGGTTCATTGGTACATTGCGTAAGAGAGCCTGACTCTGTGCTTAAGATCAGTCCTAAGAATCCAATTCTCGCAGTTTGGTCTGAGTCTGTTTCTTGATCCATGTTACATTCTTTTATTGGATACCACATGCGGAACTAAAACTGAAATTCATATTGCTATTTGAGATATACTTATTAAACAGTAATTCTTCAAGGCCTCTTCTGTACACGAGGCAGTAATTGATGTAATGATCATAGTTAACTTGATTATTTTTTCCCAAGCGCTGCTTGACCATTTACCTGTCCTGTGCCCCTCCCCCACTCCAGAGTAAAAACAGCACCTGTAACCGGAATCTGTGGTTTGTCTGGGCAGAGATTGTGGTCTGTTTTGTCCATTGCTTGGCTTTTCTTTATCCCATTGATTAGAACAGTGCCTACCACATAATATGTACTGAGTAGATTTTTTTTGAATGAATGATTATACTTAATTCCCCAGGAGCCCCCTGAATTTTCTCTTACTGTCCATCTATTTCTGGGGGGTGATATGCTGTTAGCTGTTTACTTCATCTTGGGGAACAATGCAGTACAGCGCAGGGTGGTTTTCAGGTTTAGCTTTCTGTCTAGTAGACAGCAAGTGTATCTACACGCAAGGTTAAGCAGGGCAGCAGTTATTTTAGGCAATAGGAGAAGCTGATAGGAGATGAATCATGACTAATGGAGAAATAAGCGAACTGTGTAAATCCCCAGAAGCCAGGCCTGCACATAGCTACTGCTTAATCTCTGCTATTTCTGCTACCGGTACTACGGTAGCATCATTGTTACCATCATCATTTTTTGTGAAACTCATGAGAGTTATAAAGCGAATGTTCATCTCTGCGTTGAAGTTATCAGCAGTAGTTTCCTGGGTGAAATGACCCTTCTAGGTGGGACAGAACGTGGACAGGTTGGGGCAGGAGAGGAGGGACTGGAGATGAAGAGCCCTGTAAGCAGAAGGGTGAGGTGGAAATTGTGTGCTTTCTGTTCCTCGGACAAGATCGGTATGTCTGGAGCACAGGGGCACAGACTAGGAGTAAGATTAGGACCGATACTTTGAATGTGTTGATTGTGTTGTGAATGCTACATTATATTAACAAAGTTGGATTTGAAAGTGTATGTGTTTCTGTCTGAGAGAAACCAAATATCCTTTTAAAATACATTTTTATTAGTTCATATTAATTTTATGAAATACTGGGTTTCAGTGTGGTGTTTTCTTACATGCGTGTAACATTTCAAACCAAATGCTATTTAATGAGAAATTATATGGCCTTTTCTTTATGCTGTAATTTATAATCATAATGTTATATCTGCTTGAGAAATAATATCTGTACCTTTGGTGTCACACAGCCAGGGAGACGAACTTTGACTGAATAAAAGTCTATTTCCAATGAGCTTTGTGTTTTTGAAATTTAAAGAGCCTCATTCACCCACCTCTTCCATAATTATCGAGTCAGATGTATCCTGGAGCATTACTCTGAGTACTGTGCTGTCCCATCATCCCTTTCACAGGCTGTAGACCTGGGGCCTAGATTTCTGCCATGTGCAACCTTGTGTAGCACCACACATACAGTTCCTGGTGTAGACTAAGGGTGCAATGAATTGTGCAAACTGAATTTTAAAAGCATGCGAGGCTGGCCGCCCCAGCACTCGGAAGAGTGTGCAGCCGAGCCATAGTTTCTGAGATGTGTAACGCATTTTGTGGTGTTCTCAGGTCCAGCCTGCTGAAGGAAGAGGCTAAGCGAGGAGCCCCTAGCCCTTGGCTCTTTGAGGAGCCAGAGGAGACCAGGGGCTTAGGATTCGATGAGCTCCGGCAACAGCAGCAGAAAATTATCCAAGGTATGAATACCCAGGTGGTGGGGCTCACAAACCTGCCAGATTGTATCTTTCTATGTTTTTATGATTGTAGCTTTTTGTGTTCCTTATCCCTATAGAAAATTGCAGTGAAAAACCATTGGTCTTTTTTTTTTTTTTAGATAGGGTCTCACTATCTAAAAAGTAGGGCAGGCTGGTCTTGAACTCCCTTGCCCAGGCTGGCCTCAAACTCCTGAGGATCCTCCTGCCTCAGCTTCCAAAGTGCTGGGATTACAGTCATGCATTACCACACCTGGCTCAACCGTTGGTCTTTTAAAGCTCTTGGTATTTTTGTGCCTCCAAATACCTGAGGGCTGCTGTCACTTTTCTTGGTAGCTGATAGAAGTAGTGATTTTCCTCTAGGTGAGAGTAGAGAGAAGAGATCTGAGTCTGGATATAGGTCCTGGTGAACTTAATTCGTGTGCCTTTATTTTTCTCCAAACACACAACTCCATCTTTTCCTTCTGTAAAGTCATTTTGGCTTTGACCTTCAAGTTCATCTTGCCCATAAGCTCTTACATCAGCCAGTTAGTTTTAAACTTCTCATGTTTTTAAATTTCAGAACTGATATATATTTGCTGTACAACATTGAAACATATAGGAACAGATAAGATGAACAGCTCTCCGTATTGTTTATCTGGTCTCAAACTGAATGGATTAACATACATTTCCTTAGACTTTTTTTTGCACATACATGTGTATGTGCAAGTGTGAGCACGTCCGTGTGTGTGTGTATGGTGTCATTAAAATGTATGGTGGTGTTTAAGTAAAAGAATTTATTACAGTAAAAGAGAAATTGTCATTTAAGCCCCTCAAAAATTTTCCCTCACTTTGAACACACTTGTCCCATCATTCTTGCTACTTTCTAAAGCAGTTCTAAAAGTCCTGTCATTGAGCGTTTTTATGAGGCATGATCAAAAATATGGTGAATGCTGCTGCTGAGTGCCATCCACTACAAAGGGAGGCTCGCAAAAGCATATGGTGTGTCCTCATCCACCTTATTTAGTGGATCTGACAGCAGGCGAATTCTGGCTCTTCCTCAAGGTCAAGTGAAAGGTCAATATTTTGAATCAGTTCAGGACGTTGGGGCAGCCACAAAGGCATAACTAAAGGCACAAAAGTGGGTTTACGTACAACTTCAGAAACCGGCAAGAAAAATAGAGCAAGTGTGCTCAGCGCAAGGTATGGTATTTTGAGTGAGGTTAATAGCCATATGTTTTTTTACTAAAATAATTTTTTTAAAAACTTAAACTCACACCATGTATTTAGTATAAACATATATTTACACAGTCAGGTCATGAGGTCTGTAGCTATCATATATATATATATATATAACTCCACAGCTTTTGAAAAAAATCCTAAATATCTGTTATGGATAATTTTTTCATGTCAGTGTGTACACATAAGTTCACTTTCTAGTAGTACTTTGCAGAAAGCTTTATTGAAGTATACTTGACATTATCGTAAACAGCACATATTTGAAATGTACAACTTGATAAACTTTGACATATGTATATACCCACTAGATCATGACTGCGGTCAAAATAACAAACAGTAATATGGAGATAACATTCACTGTCTCGTTTAATAGGAATTTTCTCCTTGTCTCTTTGTAATTAGTCCTATTGTCCCTCCCCCATCTCTAGACAACTGCTGATCTGCTTTCTGTCACTATAAATTAGTTTCTGTTTCCTAAAATTTTACATGAGTTGAATCATACAGTATTAACTCGGGGGTGGGGGAGAGGGAGATCTGGCTTCTTTCTCTTACCATAATTACTTTATTTTTAAAAATTTATTATAAAAATAAAAGAAGGAAAACATTAACAAACAGACGTCCATTTACAAAATAGCGTAAGAACAATACAAGCAATACAGAGTTACAGACAAAGTGGTAGGAAATTAACAGTGGTTATTGTATTACATATTGATATCTTCAAAATGGTTTCTCAGGAAAACAAATAGAGACATGCAAGATTGATCAAATAAGTAAGTAATCATTCACTGTTCCTTCCAGTAAAGCGATAGAAGTCAGTAGTACATCTATGTCAGCTATCCTGTATATACATGCATACATAATTTCCCCTTCTTTCTTTTCTCTTTTCCCTCACTCCAGTTGCTCTTTACTTTTAAGCATTTTCCTTTCGTTTCACAATGTCTGTCATACATCCTAATTTTTATTCACTCTTTCAGGTTCTTACACTAGTGAGACAATATGTTGCTTACACATGGAGGTCTGGTTTATTTCACTTATGAGTATGGTCTCTAGTTGTAACCATTTACCTGTAAAAGCCTTGAGTTTATCATTCTAGCATAATTACTTTAAATTTCATCTATGTCATCCCAATACCAGTATTTCATATTATGTTGTGAAATCATAGTATTTCATTGTTGGAATCTACCGCAATCTGTGTATCCATTCACTTGCGACAAGTGTTGGGTGGTTTTCAGTTTGGAGGTCTTACAAACGAAGCTGTGTACATTTGTGTATAAGCCTTTCTATAGACATAAATTTTCATGTTTTTTAGGTAAATACCTACAAGTAAAATGACTGAGTCATCTAGGAGGTGTATGTCTAGCCTCTTTGTGTTTGTATGTGTGCATGATGCTAAGGAGTGAACCCAGAGCCTTGTGCATGTTAGGCAAGTGTTTTTGCATCCCAGGCCCTTAACTGTTTGTTTTTAAAATTAAAAAAATTATTGGTAAATAAAAATTGTATATATTTATGGTGTACAACATGTCTTGAACTATGTATACACTGTAGAGTGGCTAAATCAAGCCAATATATATAGAACCTTAAAATCTATTCTCTTAGCAGTTTGCAAGTATATTAGTCACCATGATGTATAATAGAGCTCTTAAATTTTTTTCTTTTAAAAAGAATTTTAAAAACCAATAAAATTGGTATAGAATTTCAAAACAAGTTGATAGGAAATTAACAGTGGTTATTATATTGTATATTGTTATATTTCAAGTAGTTGCTCAGATTACCAGAGACAGGCATGCAAAATTGATCAAACAATATAAGCACTAACTGTTCCTTTCAGTGAACTAATAGAAATTAGTACAATTGTCTTAGCTATCTTGTATGTGTATATATATATATTCCCCCCTTCTTCCTTCTTTTCTCCTTTCCTTCACCCCAGTTCTTTCCTTCTGAACAGTTTCTTTCCCTTTCACAATATCCATTGTACCTTTTGGATCTTATTTATTTACTCTTTCAGTTTCTTATACTAGGGAGACAATATGATGTTTCACAGGTGAGTCTGATGTATTTCACTTATGCGTATGGTCTCTAGTTGCATCCATTTACCTATAAAAGCCTCGAGTTTATCTTTCTTTATAGCTGAGTAATACTCCACTGTATAAAAATACCACATCTTTTTTATCCATTCCTCGGTTGATGGGCATTTGGGTTGTTTCCAAGATTTGAGCTCTTAAAATTTTTATGCCTACCTGGAATTTTGTATCCTTTGACCAACATCTCCCTAAACACCCACCTAACCCTCCCTCCTTACTTTGCCCTTGGTAACCACATTCGGTGTTCTGCTTCTATAAATTTGACATTTTTAGATTCCACTTATTAGTAAGATCATCTGCTATTTGGCTTTCTGTGACTTATTTCACTTAACATGATGTCCTTCAGTTTCATTCATTTTGTTGCAGATGATAGGATTTTTTATGGCTGAATAGTATTCCATTACTATTAAATCCATTCATCCATTTTTAAATCCATTCTTCCATTGAAGGATATTTAGGTGGATTTTTTAAATCTTAGCTATTGAAACTAGTGCAGTGAGCATGGGAATGTTGATGTCTCTTTGCCATACTAATCTCATTTCCTTTATATAGCTAGTAGTGGAATTGCTAGACCATAATAGTAGTTTTATTTTTAAATTTCTAAAGAACATCCATACTGTTTTCTTTAGTGGATATACTAATTTATACTGCCACCAATGGTGGTTAAAAACTATGGTCAGGGCTCTGTTGTCTCCACATCCTTGCCAATAATTGTCATCTTTTGTTTTTTGATACTACTAGCTGGAACAAGGTATGTTGTTGTTTTAATATTCACTTCCCGGGTGATTAGTTACTTTGAGTGTTTTCACATAACTAGGCATTTGTATGTCTTCTTTTGTAAAATGTTTTTCAAGTCCTTCTCCTGTTTTGCTAATCCAGTAATTTGATGTTTTGCTGTTGAATTTTTGAAGCGTGTGCCTAACTTTTAAAGAAATGCCAGCTAGTTTCAAAAGTGAATCTACCATTTGTACTCCTACAAGAAGCATATAAGAGTTACAGCTGTCTCACATCCTCAGCAAAGGTTGGTGTGGTCAGCTTTTCTCATTTTAGTCATCTTGAGGTTAAAAGGTATATTCTGTTGTGCTTTTAATGTGTATTTCTCTAATGACTGATGAATCTTTGCATGCACTTACTTGCCACCTGTGTCCTTTATAGTGAAGCATCTCTTCAAATTGCCCACTTTTACTTAGATTGTTTGTTTTTATCAAAGTGAAAAATTTTTATATTTCCTTTTATAGGTCATTTGTCAGACTTATTTTTTACAAATATTTTTCCCAATCTATGGTTTTTCTTTTTCATTCTCTTAACAGAATCTTTCAAAGGGCAGAAATTCTTAACTTTCATTAAGTCCTCAAAAATTTGAATGGTTTGTGTTTTTGGCTATCTCTGAGAAATAAATGATTAACCTCAAGCCACAAGATTTGCAGCTTTGTTTTTTTTTTTTTTTTTTTCTAGAAATTCTATAATTTTAGGTTTTTACATTATTTCTCAGATCTACATTGAATTAATCTTGTTTATAGTAAAATATGGATTGAAATTCAATTTTTAAAGATTGGGATATATTTTTTGGTCTAACACTATTTAAAAAAAACTCATTTCTTGCTTGATTTCTCATCTTTATATAAAAGGTTGATCATATATTTATGGCCCTATTTTTTTGTTTGTTTGTTTTATTTTTCTTTTTTT